GTAAGTAAAATTTGCCTTTTCATGGCCTTAACACGTCATTTCGGTCTTCCATTACTGTAACTCCCGATAAGTTAGACAGATCGAACATTATTGAAAACACTTCATCGCATCTAAGTATTGCGTATTTACAGCTCAAAATCCATGGATTTGGTGTGCGGCGGCGGCGCTCGCAAAATCGCTCTGGTCCCACGCGGTGCAAAAACACAAAACGCGCGATGTCGTCAACGTGTTAAAGAAGTGGTCATATTCATTCAAACAGGTTACTTCTCCTACAATGCAGTGGAGTCAACTTCTGAAGCAGCACATACAAGTACAGAACGATTTGTCAATGGCGTTAAGGCGATTGTTAGACACTCCAAGAGAAAGGGTCCAATGCCGAGGAGAAAGAAAGGTAGGTCCCTATTGGACAGACAGGGCAATATTTGTGATTTCGTGAAGCTCAAGAAATGTCTGTCTTTCAGGTACGAGGGAGTCGTACTAAATCACCTGAAGACGACATATGGCATGGATTTGGTGACGATCCACCTACTGATGAGGAGAAGAAGGAGAAGAACGAAGAAAAGTCAAATGACGTGCGGGTCGTTCTTGCTTGGAGCCGAAGAGAAAAAAGCGGTGAGTTTCGCGGGGATCTGAAAAGTCTCATGAAAGCTTCTTAGCCACCGGACAAAGGGCAATGCTTTTCCTATACTCCTCCTTCTTTTGGGAGCTGTACCAGTTGATTACCACAACTGCTAATTATTTCACTTATTTATTTGATTATTTACGTAACCGTTAAGTTATAATTGACTTAAGTAGGGACAAGAACTGTTCAACATCATATGTGTCTAGGTCCCAATTTAGGTCGCTGAACTGGTTCTAAGCTTAGAAAATGTGTTATGCATCAAAAGATTGACAAATTAGTCACATTTATTGTAAATAGTTCCAGATGTGTCAGAAACGTGGTCCTGTGGTCGATCTGAAGCAGCTCGGATGGGGTCGATGGGTGATTGCTCCAGCGGAATTCGAAGCCGGATTCTGCTCTGGAATATGCCCAAATCCGCTTCCAAAGGTGAACGCTCAATTTTCAGGATATCCCTGAAGTGGATTACAAGAATTTCATATCCAATATGTTCCCACTGAACTTCAAATTTATATCCACAAAGGCTTTTTTTGAAAACATGGGATGAAGGTGGACTCAGGTGGACCCTTTACTGCACTGAACCAGCAGCTCGATCTTCCCAATTTTCTACTAGCAATGCCTTTATTCAATATATCATTACGTTCTTATCGTTTTCCTAATTTGCTTATAAATTTCCAAGGTGAGTAGTTCAAAGGTCAACCCTGGGATTAGCATTACTAGTGGGATGGATACCACTAGAAATTGCAACAGTCCGTACCTACCTAGGATCACTCCAGCTTCGTCTCAAAAATTGCGCGGTTAGGGCGCTAATCCTTACGGGCCTGCAACCATCGACCCTGCTTCCAACGCTTCCCACCCACCGCGAGAGGTGTGAGATCAGCGTGCATTGATGTCAGAGATCCAGGGTGCTCTCTCAAAATGAAACCGGCTCTAACAGCGCTTTTTCTCTTCTTCGAGCGCCCTGCCTCGCCATCATACAACATCCGGCCTTATTGAAGATTAAGGTCTTTTTTTCAACGTTCCCAAACGTTTTTTTGCTTTGCTCTCCACTTTCAGGTAGCTCCACAGCTAAGCTATCACTATGAGGCTCATAGCTCCGTTCAATCCCGGGTTTGCCTTCAAGCAAACGAAACCTGTAAATGGATCAAATTGTGGATAATGAACCAATTGTTGAATCTCATCCAGTGCAACTACAAACCTCTTGGTCGGGACTGGATGGCCAGCCTTGGGTGGATAGAATTAATTGTCTTTGGCATTGTCTATCCCACACAACCTTAATTGTATGGAGTAGCTCGTAATTCTAACGACAACTTATTGTATGGAGTAGCTCACATTCCAACCCCAAACGATTTGAAACTGATGTAGAGTGCGCGGGGCTCCCTATACAGGTTGATAATGCCCTTCTTATTCGATCCTATGTCCTTTCACTATCAAATATTACCTACCTTTATGAGCACTTTTGTGGATACCTATCATACGAGAGGGCTAAATTTCCCTGTGACAGCGCTCCAGGGCGACACCCTTGTGACCAGACTCCCGTCGCGCAACACACAGTTTTGATAGAAAGGGAAATTCGCCAACAAACATTGCCCGTGACATACAGTATCGATTAATCCATTAGATCGTCGTAGACGTTGTTCAGCATTTGATTCAAATATTTTATTTAACATATTCTTTTTAGGATATGCATCCATCAAACCACGCCCTGCTACAGACCCTACTGAAATCTGCCTCAGTGCCATCTGTGTGCTGTTCACCGTCGCAGACGCGTTCGTTGACGATCTTTTATCGAGACGAACTTGGTCGATCGACCATTCGGAACTTTGAGGATATGATTATTGAGTCTTGTGCTTGTCAGTAGTTTCGTCTCAAATCTTGTGAAATGCCAGCTTTCACATGCTTTCGTCACCGTGGCCCTGTCGGAAGGTTTTTTCTCAATATCCTCCTGCCATTTCATCTCATAAGTGGAAATGTCTCCATATGCGGTTCTTCAAAAGTAGTAGCTCGAGCTTTTTTCCGAAATCAAAACGTCATTGAGGGGTTCTAAGCAGTTTATTGCCAGGACTGTACTCTATTTTTCTCACAGTTAAGTCAAGCTGAACCTCGAATTCCCTAGAAGTTTTTGTCTCAAAGGCATCACTACCCTGAAATAGTCAAGTGAGAGCCCGAAACTCAAGTACCTATACTCCAAAAAACAACGATTCGACTATTTACACTCCGTGTCCCTTTTGTTCGGACCTGCTCCAACTGCATAATTACCATGACGGCATTAGAAACCATCAAGAGTGCCAAGTTTATGCGATTTTATCGATTTTTTTGAACCCATCGTCTGCGTGGTAGTTTGCAAATGCAGCAGGCCCTGTGGCGGAAAATCCGGCTATATGTATTGCAGCTTTATAATTTCCATAATAATATTATATGT